TTTATCCCTTTTAACTGCAAACTGTCAATATCACCAGTGTGGCATCACCAGTGCAAATTGGCATTGAGAGCACTGTCTAAAATGGTATCAAACTATATACCAAACCTCTGATACGGGAAGATGCTTGATTTATTATCATGTTATTACAATAGAGACACCATTCTATCAGATATCGCCAAAACTTAACACTGTATGTTCGAAAAAAGGAGATAGACATAGTCTTAGATAGCAGATTAGAATTAAGATATAAAGGAAGTGGCGAGGTGGTATACAATTATACACTTCTAGACATGTTATGTTAATCGAGTCTACATTAATTAAAATAGTCCAAGATAATAGACGCCATTATTAAGTATGGGATTTTAGTTGTAAAAGGAATCGCGGGGCGCTAGGTTTTGTAGAGAAATTTTCGCCCAAAATATTTGAAGGCTTTTTCAGCCTAGAGAACATCTGATTCGATCTTGTTCTGAAATGCTAAAACTGGCACTTATATTAGATAGATAAGAACACTATTATGATCTTACTACACCTTCCATGTAACTTTCAATTCAATGAGGGATCTTTATCAAGTATAATATAATTGAAATATTGATATTGAAACGTTGATAGCATTAAAAGGAATTGTTTATCCATAACATTGTTCTTAATTATCTAATGTTTTCTCTACTTCAAAATGTAATTTAAAGATTATAATATAGTTCTTATATTGTCAAACTCTATTGATATTGATGACACGGGCTGAAATATACTGGTTGTTTTAAAGGTACATTATCTTAAAGACCATCCGTTTGATTGATTTAAGTTTCAGAATTTTAGTTAATTATCAATAGTGTTCACAGTGTGTCCAGAATTATCAGCGTTTGAAAGTAGAAATGACTCGTGTTTTCTTGAGAATCCTTCATATGGAAAAAAAGAGAGAAATTTCTAGATTGAGGTAATATTTGAAGGGATTGTGCGATTTTCGTGCAGTTTTAGTACTTCTAAAGACTATTTACATATATTCAAGACCCAAATTAACCACCGAAAATGACCTTAGATTATTTTGATCGTTATGGGCCGTGGCTGTTTTGACTGTAACAATATACAGATTGTCTTGCCTTTGAAACGTCCTTAAAGAAATTATCATGACGCTGAATGCCAGAGATTTGAAAGGGTTATTGTCTTACTAAAGATTTAACATGCGGTTAAATACCATCATACAGACTGAAGTGAGAACAGATAAAATTGTCCAGGTTCATTTTCTGTCAGTAGTACGCTAACAACTGCTGTGTGATCCACAGATGCATGCAGATTGTCAAAAGTAATGATTGTGGTAATCACGAGAAATTATGGTACATTAATAAATTTCTGTCGTTAAAAATTTTTTTACAGGATTTGTTTTTACAAGCATGAATTTATCTGGTTGTATCTCATGATTTTGACTGTTGTAGTAGTGGTGGGTGTCAGACCATGCTTATACTTTCCAAAACAACTGATAGTACTCCTCTTTGGAGGAGCCCACTACTACCTTTACTCCTGATTTTGCCATGCTTTGGACCAGATTATCTTGTACGGATTTTTATTTACTTTCTATCCGAATTGAAAGTTTCCGTTCCCTTACTCCTAACAATGAAAAATATCTTTAAAAACAACATGCTGCATCGGCGCTCCCCTTATCCCACCCGTCAAAAGTGTGTTGTTCAAATGTTGTTGAGAGTTTGCTCATGTCACCTTTATATATTATTTTATTTATCCAGACAAAACGAACTAAAAAGCCCTTTCGATGTACCTTAGCACCTTGTCTACAGAAGTGTAACATCGCGCCATGGAAATTCATAACATGAAATTCATTTTAACAGAATGGCTGATAACATACCACTTGTTGAAGTTCATTAAATACTCGGCAACACCTGAACAGCCATTTTTGTATCGAATAAGTTTATATAAACTGACAACCTGTGGGAAATCCATATCCGTATGGTATCCCTTCCATGGACGGTATTGTAATGAATTGTAGGCACTGCATTCGTCATGGAGTTCTTGATTCGATACCTATATCTCTTTGGCTCTCGAAGTCATTGATGCAGGTATGGGAGACATACATGAAAAGCGCTCTTTCTTTCGAATGATCCTATAAACCTTGTGCCTATGTAAACGCATAGGCTAGTGTCGCTGCTCTGGAAATGCTAATACTTTCCTCATTGAACACTGTAGGGATTTGCTCGTCTGCATCATGAAAACACAAGCCCAGGAGAAATTTCAGTTACTGTCAATTACTGTTATGTGCAGAAAAAAAGTGTGTGATATAAACTGACCAACTCCTGGCACGGTCACGGATAGGTGTAGAAAGTTGGGACGTAAAACTCCATTTCTGGCACTTCATCCCAATATAGACCAGTACATCTGACTTCTGTATACTTGATGCTCCGCAGACTCAACAGGCAGATACAAAAATATACCAAACACAATAATCGCTACGAACATCAACAGTAATTATATTTTACCGTTATATCCACGGAGTTCATCAAGGTACACCGCTATCTCTTTATGTCATCGACTAAACGAACTCAGCAACACAGGAGTGTCTGTTCAGACGTAAAGAATCGACAATTCCATCGTGTTGTAGCAAAGTGATTAATCTGTTAAAGCGGATATATATTCTAGCGATTAAATAGTCACCCAATTCAATATTTATCTATCGGCTTTTCATTACTGAAAGTAAATTTCGGTGTTATGACATTCCAAACCTTGCTGCTTCAGTGTAAATCTTACGGGTTCTTGTCGGTTCATTTTCCCCGGTTGGCTACCCTAAACGTCGTTTACATGATTGACCCATTAGTGTAAATATTTAGTCTCTATTCACAGAACAATTCCGATTGGGTATTTAAAGATCATAACACGCACGAGGATAAAAGGTGCTTTATTGATGTCCAAACCGGAAGTGCTACTCGGCCACCACTAATTTGCTATCGATCAGATCAATCAGGGCGAATTTCCACTTTTATTGATGTTTTGATGAGAAGCGACCTTTTTATGGTTCAAAATAAGGATGAGCTAAATAAAACTTTTCAATCTCCCGGCCAATTAAATCATTATCGATCCAGTCAATTATGTAAAGTCATGGACTCGCTGAAATAAATACATTAGACTAAATCCATGCACAAATCGATCAAGTCTGACGGATTAACATGGAAAGTCAAAAGTGATAAAATGTCCCTTAATACCCACTTTAGGTGTACAACGACAAAGATAATCGTGTCGATTGTGTTGCACCTGATTGAGCTAAGGTGGGCGAAATTGAATAATAAAAAATGGTTTGACCTCCCATTTGTAACCCCCTTTTTATTTTTGACCAATGTGATTTTTGAAAGTGTTTGCCCCAAATATGCTAGGATGTACCAAATCAATTCAATTTTTCAACATTTTCATGGGGGAATCCTCTGTACCGTTATTGGCTTGCGACTATGACGCCTCCACAGAGTTGCCGCATTGTGAATTCAGCATAGTCAATTGCCCCCTTTCTCCAGACCCTCCCCCTCCATCTGCCTCCTTTTCATACCCCTAGTCTCGAGAGGCTGGCACCGGCATTGAGTGCAATGTACTATTCTTTACAATAATAGCATCTCTGATTCAAAATCAAACTTGACTCATTTTGTCGGGTGTTGCTGAACTTTTGTTTCCTTATTGTCAAAAATGTCCAATTAATCGACTACATTGTAAGGTTTTACTCAAAAAAGATTCTCCAATAAATCTCTCCTGTATGTCTTTAGTATTTCTTTAGAAATTATATCCGGTTTTTGTTTTGTAATCTTATTTTAATTCATCGATTTGAAAAGATCCTATGGACAATATAAACGCTTAAAAGCAATACTATTTAAAGACATAATCAATAATTCTAAGTTTACCGGACATGAAACTTCTTAACCATCATAAAACATCATAAAAATACTTGATACGGAGTGATAAGTCCTACTTTTGTGACAGTGTGCAATGAGAGAATTTTGTCAACAACCCTTCCACAACTGTATTTGAATCTTTAAAGGGACAGTTATGTCTACTGTTTGACCAAACGTACCTCAGTCTCAGAATCGGACATTTCTAAGCTAATCAATAATAGAGTTCACCTTGAACCTTCAAATCCATGTGTGTCCTGATTTATCCGCGTTTGAAAGTTAAATTAACGGACTCTGCCATATATAGAAAGACATATATAGAAATAGAAAGTGAAATACCTAGTTTAAGGTATTTTTGAGGGAATTATGCAATAAACGAAATTTCTAGTACTTCTGAAAACTATTTAGATTTGTTCAAGACCCTGAAACAACCCCCGAAAATGACAAACGTCCTTTTAATACGCATATTCTGTAACTTGCGTTTCCTAAATGTATTGGCCATCCCAATGATGCTATTTCAGTCTCACATGCAAAGACTGACCGCCATTTTCATCGGGACCGGAAATATCTGAGTAAAATACTTTGTTTGGAACCTAAAAATACCAGTGTCTTTCTCGATATTTTCCCGATTGCTGACAAGAATCATATTGATTAGTAAGGAAATGAATGGAGTTTTACGTCCTACTTTTCTGCACCATGTGGGCTAATGAAGACGGGCAACGCCATGCAGGGTGCAATGAGTTAAATGTTGCCAGGACAGCGGTATTAGCCTGCTCTTTGTCGATTTCCAACTGTCGAGGGATCTTTAACGTGAACAGCCTGTAGCACACGGGGCCTCGGTTTATTGTCCCATCCGAACGCTAGCCGACGTGGAAGGAGACTGTGTCATTATAAAGCCCAATGCTATAACTTTGGATCAAAATTGAAGGACAGTTAATTGGTAAATACCAAGTGTCTTCACATATGTCTTTCTAGACCAATGCCTGTGGTTCCTCAGACCACCGGTAAAATAGACAAGATGAAGACGTCAATATCGCTACTGCCATCTGTCTGAAAAGGTATTAGAAAAATAATTTGATTCTCACGAACATTAAATTTTTAATAATAAGTAAAATATTAGTTATTACATCAATTTTTGCGATCTATCCACATCAAAACATAGTCAAAATCAGTTCTTTGACCTTTATCATTCGACCAATGGATAGTCGACTCAAAATTTGGGCCATTTCTTTCCCCGTTGAGGTTTGCAAGAGAGCAAGTTACTGAGGACGTATACCACCATCCACCATGAAAGCGATTAGCGCAATTCTGTCCAGAATGATCATTATCATATGTAGAAAATAGTTGACCTCTTATATCCAAATTGCCGATACATAGAGTCCCCGGTCCCAATCCCAACTCCCGCATTATATCTATTTGAACTATATTGAAAGCCGTTGGCAGTATCCGTAATATCAAAGTTGTTATAATAACTTTGGTATTCTGTGCCATCTAGTTTCAATTTGACGGCGAGAACAAATCTAAGATGATTCTGTAGAATGTCGTATAGGTGTTGCAAACCAAGCCAATAGTCAGCATAAGGTTTACCAAATCCAGTTGCATACTCTGCCCATGATCTGTTGAAATTGACCTCGTAGCAATCCATTTCGCGATTTTGAATAATTGTGAGTCCGTATTCAAAATTACAACGTGCTTCAACAACGTCACCATTAACCTTTGGTTGAATATAGCATAAATGTTCTTTTTTAGGGAACAGGGATAGACTAAAGCCGTGGCTACAATCTGAAATTGAGAGTTTAATTTAATACCGTCTTCTGTAGAAACAACAACTTAGAGAACAAAACTGCAAAAATTGCATGGATGGATGTCTATTTTTATATTGCTTCTAGAAAAGACCAGTATTACGATAGTTCTAAATTTGGAGAAATAAATACATTGGCCATTGATTCTTAATTGGGTGATCTCATGAAATTTTACCCTATTATATTATTAAAGGGATAGGTTCGCGTTCCATTCCACCAATCCGGCCTTTGTTTCAGAAACAAGAATTTTTTAGTTGTGCTAATCAGTAAAAGTGTTCGAGCCTTCAAATTCGTACATGTATAGTACCCATAAGAAGATTCAAGACCAAAATCAACTCCCGCAAATGCCGAATCTATCCATTTAAAGCTTATTGACCTCATCTATTCGGAGAAATGGATAGCGAATTTGTAATCAATTATAAATTGGTTTCCTTTAAATGCATTAGGAAACTCCCGTCATTACCTTGTATAATGTTTTCACATCTATCACCATAGTGACCTATAGGACATCTTAAACACTTTAATTCTGAACAAAGAGAAATCTGGAAAAAAAGAAACCTTTATAGAAACTTAATGTATGATAAAACAGCCTATTTTCGACAGCCGGAAAATTGGTTAATGCCGCTGTTCTGGTTGACCTGCATGACATTCTCCATATGAGTCACTTATGAGCGTAAAACGTCATGTGATTCACAAATCAAATCCAACATAATAACCCGAATAAGGCAAAAATGACAGAAAAAGTAACAGGTTTTGGTAGTTATGATCATTAATGTGGATCGTTTGGAAAACGAAACCCGAAATCAAAAACAACATAATGGCGAAACAATGGTAGCAGCTTATGAACTTTTCGTGTTTTATTTTTGGGAAAGTGTTCATCATGAGAAACAGCTCATCACTTTTCTGAAAAGGCAATTAATATTAAACATAAGACAGATATTTTTGGCGTCCACCGTGTTCCCTCTCCATGTAATCAAAGGCATTCGATCAAATTTTTAAATGCCAATGGGTTGGGTTTGCGATACTCATGTAGTAATGTATAGGTTCAACAAAACTTACCTGGCGAAAACAGACCTTATCTGTGTTGTTTGTTGAAAAACAATCCTCACCAGACTCATACAACCTACATTCTTTGGTTGTAGTGTCAACCATAACCCTTCTACAGTCTGGATGTTGTGTACACAAAACCGAGCAGTGAGTTTCTGTAACTGCATACAGGGTTGATATATGGTTGTTGTACTTGGTCTTTTCACAGGATTCCGGCTCTAAATGCACCTTTGTTTTAACATATCTTGATTCTTCCAGTGTATCAAACAATGGAATCCACATACTTAGCAGTATGGTATTTAGAGATAACTTGAACATCTTGCTATTCATTTTGTCTGTTAAATTGGTCTGTGAAAAATACAGAAATTCTGTGTAAAACAACTTAAAAAACACGGCGTCATTCACAAATTGGCTCTAACCAATAAAAATCTTCAAATATTTTAAGTAGTCAAATGGTTAAGACTTTAAAAGACACACAATTATAAGCTTTGATAGATGATAGAGCCCAATTTCAGTTATCAGAATACAAATCCGATTTCCGATTTCTCTACAATTAAAAACAGTACTTTTTGACATAGCTATTTCCAACGATATCCTCAAAATCTGAATTACCTGCACGTGGGAAATCAATGAAAACATAGAAGTGTCGATAATCTTAATTTACGCTGTATGTTTTTGATGAATTGTAGGAGAACAAGACGTTGTTTAAAGCCATGGTTCAGCATTTCCCGAGGCTGATATAAATATACATGATCAATCTTTAGAAATACCAGAACTGTGCGAAAATCTCATGATTTCTTCAAAAATACCTCAAAAGAGGAATTTCACTTTTCATTTTTCTGTATTTCACTAGTTTATCCTCTGCTTGAAATGACATTTTGATCGAAAAGGGGAGTCGTCAATGTAATTTTCAAACACATGACTAAGAAGACTAAAATTTCGACGGTAAGCTGTGAACACTATTGTGCCTTAAAACTACTTTAACAATGAACCACGAGTGAAATTGAGCTCTCTCATTTTGAAAAGCAAATATTTAAACGACTGTATTCCTTGAAAGTTTTCAACACTTTAACAAGGTAACATGAACAAATTCCAAAGCACACAGCGGTTGAATTTCTTGTGATCTTCAGTAACCAAGTTTGCGATTGACTTTCAACAATCAAATTTGTCGTTTTAAACTTAGTCCTTCCAATAATATTTTAACAGCTCTTTATTTCGAAGCCTTTTTTCAAACTCCGACAGCGATATCTGCGTGAAAATAAGTTCGTTATGATAATATTTCAAAGTAAATTAAAATCAATTCTTTCTTTCTTTCTTTTCAAACATAAATGAACTAAGTAAAAACTGTACTGTTAGATAAAACGTAATTTGTCATTGTGTTTTAAGATAAATTGAAATTAGTGACATTTCACTGATATCAAAAAGCATGTGATATTCGGTTGAATAAAGCAGTTTGTCCATGAATTTCTAAAGAAAACGGTCTACGGTGGGTGCTTTGCAGAAATCCTTAGAGTATAGTCAAATGTAAGCAAGTGCCCGATCGGATCCAAAAAAGTGTTAAATCGTTTAATTCGTGCAAATTTTGTTTATCGATTGTACAAGTTACAAGCTATCAGATCATAGAGGTCTGAATTGCGTTTCGTTAATTTTCTTTGAGTTTCTCAAACTATTCCTGAAATTTTTTTAACTTTCAATTTAAGAAAAAATGTAGAATAAGTAAGTAACCCACAGAAAAAAACGAAACGTACCAGTAATAATAATAGTGGAAGAAAAGGAAACCATTCAACCATCTACGTTAAATAAATCCACACTTAAAAGAGTTAATCAGTTCCATTGCATAGGACATATTCCTATGTTTGATACATACACATATTATGTCAAGAACCATGTACTAAATAACGAACGAAGGACTCATATTTCCATAAAACTAAAGTAATGACATTTAAAGATTATGATCTTAGAAGATTGTATTATATTAAAGGTGCAATCCCTCATAGAAGTGAGAAAAAAATCAAAATTGTGACAAGATGTTTTAGGTGCTGTGTATGGTGGTGTGATGAAAGGGGCCTTTGATACTGTCAAAATGACTGCTCGAGATACGGGCTCGGATCCAGAAAAGATCGCTTCTGCTCATTTCATTGTATAGATATCTCCGCATGGTACACCGAACTGGACACCATATCTTGTCAATTAACAGCTTTATATTTATTTAAGAAATGTTGCAAGCACCACAAAGCAAATTTGAGATAATTCCAAGTTACAGCCAAAATGTATATTCCAAATTATCTAATTTTGCTTCAAATGAAAAATTTACGTAGTCAAGTTGTCGGTAGTGAAAAGACTAAATATTCCACTTTTTACAACCGAAGGTATGACTAACTGCCACAAGAATACTGTCACAAGATCAATGAAAACCTTACTTATTTCTGTATACATACAAAGTAATAATAGTCCATTTTAAACAAAGTTTTGAACTCAAAAGGATCACTTTTAGTTAAAAAATACATGTGGGATTTCACCTTTAAGCTATACCCAGGAAAGTGTATTAATGGAATTTTGTTTTTAATGGCAATAATCGAGTTGAACGATTTTTTGTTTATATTGTCTGACTACGCAATGTGCTAATTGGCGAAAGGAAGACTATGCTTGACAAAATTGATTGAAAAATTATTAAAATTTAAAACATGAAAAACCGAAAGAGTCTGTGACATTCCCATCAAAGATAGATATGAAGAATGAAGATACGGAATGAATAAATCATTGAAACCAATTGATGTGGGACTTAACTTTCTTACTAATTCTTTGATAGAAGTTTGACATTTTAAGAATAAACGTCATTTCCGGTTAAGATTGTCTTGGAATCGTGACTTCCATAATATATATTATATAGTAGATTATATAGTAGAAAATAGACCTTGAATCTGATAAAGTGACATATAGGCAGGCCCGTAGCCAACGGGGGGGTGCAAAATCAAATCTTTAACTGGGACGTATTTGTTCAACGTTTTGCCATAAAACATACCCCCTCCCCCCCGTTAGGAGTACTGGTCAGGCTACGGGCCTGCATATAGGCGTCTAAATATTGATTTTGCCAGTTAGCACAATTTCAAATTGTATTTTTCAGAATACAGTGCACAATTGAAAAAAATCTTAACGGCGGAAGTCAACTCAAACTGTTAATAATATTCAGATACAAATAACACTGTATGTTCAGGTATCTGTCTTTCGTCACTTCCGTACTACGTTTCATTAAATTATAGACGAACTAAGGGTGGCTATATTATGTTTTGGTGTTGTGTTCATAGTATACAAAACAATAATATTGTGGTAAATGGTAAATGGTTTATTAAATTGAAAATGAATCCCAAAAACAAACAAAATTATTTCAGGAAAAGCTGTAATTGAGCTGTATCAGCAGATAAAACCAATATATAGACGAATGTGTCTCTTTGATATACAGATAATGGAGCGCGTTAAAACAATAAAACAACATTAACGGATATCTGGTTAAGACTTTAATCGATATTGTTGAATATTAATAAAATAATTTTTTTTTTTACTTTTCGCTATTAAAGGTGACTTCATCAATTATGCAGTTATTTCGTGGTAACACAATATAAACAATAGATAATTGTGTATAAATTATTCACTTGAAAGGAACTTGATTTTAGTATTGAATAGAATATATGTAAATTTTAAACAAGGATTTTTTTTTTCCTATTTCTATAGATGTCTTTTCTATATATTATGATAGACGAAAAGAAAAGACGACTCGTCTTTATAACTTTCAAACGCAGATAATTCTGGACACACATGGATTTGAAGGCTCAAATTTCGC